AATTTCTCTAAAGCAAAAATAACAACAAGCAACTCCTTTTCCGTGGTTCAGTAATTCAACTGAGCATCATTCAAAGTCTAGGAGGCATAATAGATGGCATGTGGTACGTTGTTCACTCTTTGTCCAAGCACATCCCCCACTCATAATCCAAGGCGTCACACATCAACTCAAAAGGAAAATTTCAATATGGAAGCTACATGATAGGGGCAAACGTCAAAAGCTCCTTAAGCTTGTTAAATACAGCCAAGCACTCTTCATTAAACTCGAATTCCACATCTTTGCCAAGCAATTGACATAGGGGCCTTGATATTTTGGAAAAGTCCTTGATGAAAACCCTATAGAACCCTGCATGTCCTAGGAATGACCTAATCTCCTTCACAGTTGTGGGGGGCTGCAAGCTTCTTACAATGTCAATTTTTGCCTTGTCCATTTTAATTCCCTTACAAGAGATAATGTGACCTAATACAATGCCCTGCTATACCATGAAGTGGCACTTCTCCCAGTTGAGCACTAAATTGCATTCCTGACACCTTTTCAACACTAAAGAGATGTTGTGAAGATAAATATCAAATGAATCACCAAAAATGGAAAAATCATCCATAAATACCTCTATTATCTCATCCACCATATCAGAAAAAATTGACATCATGCAACGTTGAAAAGTGGCAGGTGCTTTACATAAACCAAAAGGCATACGCCTATAAGCAAACGTACCAAATGGACAGGTAAAGGTGGTCTTTTCTTAATCTTCCAGAGCTATGGCAATTTGATTGTATCAGGAGTATCCATCCAATAAGCAATAATGACTATGACCTGCAAGACGCTCAAGCATTTGATCAATAAATGATAACGGAAAGTGATCCTTACATGTCGTGGTATTGCGCTTTCTATAATCTATACATACTCTCCAACCTGTTTGAATTCTTTGAGGCACCAACTCATTGTCTTCATTCTTCATAGCAGTAATTCAGGATTTCTTGGGAACAATGTGGACTAGACTCACCCACTTGCTATCCGAAATGGGGTATATAATTCCGACGTCCAAAAGCTTCAAAACTTCCTTCTTAACGACTTCTTTCATCACCGGATTCAGCCTCCTTTGGGTTTCCCTTGTAGGTTTTGATTCTCCTTTCAAAAGGATCCTATGCATGCACTTTGTAGGGCTTATTCCTCTAATGTCTGCAATGGTCCAACCTAGGGCAGTCTTGTGCTCCCTTAGAACTCGAATTAATTTGTCTTCTTCTGATGCACTCAAATTAGAAGCAATGATCATAGGCAGCGTCTTTTCGTGACCTAAATATGCATATTTCAAGTTCTCCGGAAGGGGTTTTCGCTCAACCTGTGGTGTCTTCACAATAGAGGGAACAAGCTTATTAGTAGATAATAAAAGAGGCTAAAAAATAGAGTTAAACTTACCTCTTTGGGGACGCAAGGCCTCAAGCATATTCACAGCTTCAAGTACAGCTATGTTCCCTTCTTTGTTCACAGTTTCGAGGCTTTGGATGAGTGCCCTCTCCAATGGCATCTCTCCTTGTGATGCACTAAATGTTTCTTGCACCATTTGCTCAAGTACATCTATGGAAAAACAAGCATGATCATCATTAGGATATTTTAAAGCATCAAATACCTTAAACTCCAAGGTTTCCTCATCGAATGCCATTGTGAGAGTGCCTTCATACACATCAATTTTTGTCATTGCTGTTCTCATGAATGGACGTCCTAGAAGCAATGGAAGGTCTTTTCCAGGAATAGGAACTTCCTCCATTTCGAGCACTATAAAGTCAGCTGGAAAAATTAGCTTATTCACCTTGACCAAAACGTCTTCCAACACTCCCTTAGAATACTTGATTGATCGATCAGCCAATTGTATGCTCACGGAAGTCTTCTTAAGCTCACCTAAATTTAAAGATTCAAAAACAGAAAAAGGCATCAAATTAATTGAAGCACCTATGTCTAATAAAGCATGTTCAAACCTTTGATTTCCAATGAGACAAGGTATAGTAAAACTCCCTGGATCCTTTAGTTTACGAGGCAATTTACGCAATAGCACAGCTGAGACTTCTTCACTCAAGGCCACGGTTTCATGCTCTTTGAACTTTCTCTTATTTGTACAAAGGTCTTTGAGGAATTTTGCATAGCTTGGAATTTGTTGGATCGCATCGAGCAAGGGAATGTTCACTTGTACTTTTCGAAAAGTCTCTAAAATATCTTTTGAAACTTGCTCCTTCTTTGAATTCAAAAACCTACGAGGAAAAGGAACTTTTGAAGTAATCGAATGATTCACAAGAGAACTCACCTTAGAGTTGTCACTTGGAACCGTAAGCTTGGGAGAGGGGGCAGCCACTGTTTTGGTTGAATTTCTCTCCTCATTGTCAACATTTTCCACCTCTTTTCCACTTCGAAGAGTAATCGCCTTTGCTGTTTCATGGCCTCCATTAGGATTTGGAATTACTTGGCTTGGAAACTTTCCTGGCTCTCTTTGACTCAAGGAGGCTGCAATTTGTCCAACTTGGTTTTCAAGGCTCTTGATTGTTGTAGACATTTGTGTCTGTGTTGGCCTTGTTTCCTGCATAAAACCTTGAGTGCTTAATGCCAAAGAATTAATTAACTCTTCTAAAGACTTACCTTGCCCATGAGGTGGTGGTGCATTTTGTTGAGGAACAAACTGATTTTGTTGAACTGGGGCTGTTTGCACATTTTGGTTGTTCTTCCATCCAAAGTTCGGGTGTTGCCGCCATCCCGGATTATAGGTGTTAGAAAAAGGATCGTTTCTTGGCTTTTGTTGCTGCATATAGTGTGCTTGAGCCATCTCTTCTCCATCACCATACAAACTTGGACAAGACTCCGTAGGATGTCCGGGATTAGCACACACGGCACACACTTGTGCTTGAGGGATTAATTGCTTAACAAGGTTAGTCAAATTAGC